CTTGTGCTTGCCAGAGAAGCGCGTATTCCACTGAGCCATCTCCCCGGCCCCTGCTCCCAGATTTGTAAAGTCAGCACCCCCACGGCCCTGAGTGGTACAGCAGTTGTTTCCCCAGTGTCCCAAACAACAGATGCCTCCCAAGAAAGCCTGAATGGGCAATGCGGGTCATCTGGTTTCACTGGGCTCTTCAGAGACACTTGATATCAGACCACATAAGAATCCCAGAAAGCCTCGGGAAGCAGATCTCAGGCTCCACAGAAAAGTGTGCAGCAGGCTCTGTACCCTACATACACTTCTGGACCACCCTTTAAAGCAGTCAGGACACCTGGGAAACTGCAACTCAGAGGCAGTGGGAGGTCCCGAGTGTGAGTGGTAGAGATCGAGGTAGGAGTGGGACTGTACCACTGCCTGGAAGAGGGACACAGACAGACCCTGGAGAGCGGAGGGCAGGCCAGGTTTGCATGCAGGTAAGCACAAGAAGGAGCACATGTGTCTCAGGTGCCCCTTGGAGTGCCACGGTCAGCCTGGAAAACGGGGGTGGCAGATGGGGCTGAAGGGTCAGTCTCAGGAAGTTAGGAACAATCTGGAAGCCTAAGTCAAAGGAGGGAGTCAATCAGGGAGAGAGCCTTCCACATTGGGCCACATCTGCAGGATCACGGAGGAGGGCATAACCCTAAGGCTCGCAGCACAGAACTCTGCAGCTCGCAGGTGCAACTCCACCTGACAGTGCCCACCTTCCGCCACCTCACCTGGCCCACCGCTGCACCGATGCTTCCAGTCCCATCGACGATGCCCGTGACGGTCGCCAAGGCTTCACTGCTACCCTGGATCAGCTCCTGGCGACCCAGGTCCGCAGAAATAGCTGAGCTGATCATGTTAGAAGGACCACCAATAAAAAATCCTGCAGTTACAAACACAGTAGGTTTTTATTAAAAGTGATTCCTAACACAATGAGTAATCTACTGAATGAGAAAAAATATCATCCCAGTATTTTATATGTTAAAGAAAAACAAAATAAAAGGAAACAACAGAGAATATCTTCAAAATAGCCTCCCCTTTCTGAAATCTCTATGAATTATGTGGCAATCTAGTGTGGGTATTTTTTTGTTTGGTTGGTTTTGGGGTTTTTTTTGTTTTGTTTTGTTTTTTTTATTTTGAGGCAGGGTCTCACTAAGTAGTTCAGGCTAGCCTTGAACGCAAGCCCAGGTTGGGCACAAACTTGTGGTAATCCTCCTGTCTCAGTCTCCTGCGTGCTGGGATTACAAGCAAGTACCACAATGCCTGGTTATTCTAGTATATTTGCAAAACCTCAATTTGTAAATAATAAAGCAAAATAATGGCGACTTTCCACTCCTGTGAAGTTTCCACTCATCAGTAACTGACTAGCTCATCAAATTCCATTACAGCACAGTTCCATCACTTGAGCTTTTATCAGTCCAAGGCCACCAAGCACACTGGAAACAAGAGGGGAGAAGGCCGATTCCATAGTACAGGGGCTTCTCTCCACCACCTCGCTGGCTCCTAGGAACGTGTCCCAGCCCAGGCCTGAGCTCTGGGCCTCACGCAACATAGGTAGCTCACTCCTGATGGGATGCGAGGTTTAAAAGATTAGCAACCTTTCCATACCACGCTCCCCTAACTACTGCCAACTATTTCATCGAGTCCTCAAAGAAAGACTAACCAATGCTAACAACAAAGAACAAGCTAGTTAGTTTGAACTTCTATAAGCTGGTGAACTGCTTTCCAATGGGGCATTTTCCGAAGTCTCTTTCTAAGGCAAAACCAAGCTGAGGCAGTGATCAAAAATGTGACATTGGGGCCAGTGAGATAGCTCAGTGGACTAAGTGTCTGCTTTAGCAAGCGCATACGACCCCGCCCCCCCGTCCCACATGCTGCACCACTGAATCCAGGTGTGGTGGCACATGCCTGTAAGCCCAGTGCTGGGGAGGTTGAAAACAGGAGGAGCACTATGAGTCCAATTGCGCAGTTAGACCCTGTACCAAATACATAAAACGAAAAAAAAAAAAAAAAAGTGACATTGAAGTTGGGCATGCGGGTGCAGCCCTGTAATCCTGGCTTGCAGGAGGCCAACGCAGGAGGATCATGAGTACATGGACAGCCTGGACTACACAAAAAGACTCTGTCTCAACAGACAACTGAGAGGGACAGCTTCTGTCCCAAGAGGGTGGAAAACTTGATCAACAAGCAGAGAACAGAATCTGGAAAAAGACTGCCTAAAATCCCACCTACAAAGGGGTGGAAGGGAAGGGGAAGAAAGAACTGATATGTTTCCTATCTGTACCAGTTCCCCACAGGGAATGTCATCATCACGCGCTGCAAACATCCTGAAAAAAACAAAAAAGATTCCAACTACTCAGGAGGCAGAGGCAGGGGAAGTACAAGCCTGAAACTATTGATATGTCATCTCAGAATAAAATACAAAAAGGCTTGGGCTGCGGCTCAGTACTCTGGGTTCATTACCTAATACCACAAAAAATAATTTTTAAAGGAATCCAGAACAAGGTGCTTTTCTGTTGTTTGTGTTCTCCATGACTAAAGCTTTAACATCACTCAAGCTGAGGGGGAACAGTTTCCAGAGGACACTGTAGTCACAGGGGGCTGCAGTACCTGTCACCGTCATCAGGAGTGCATTGATGGATTTGTTGTTAGGAGACCCTGTGAGGAAACACAGACACAGCAGTGACTGGGGCAGCAATGACAGGCGGCTCCGCCACAAGCACACAAAGGTCCAGGTCTCTGCGACCTCACAAATCCCTCTCTGGACAACAAAGAGAGGCAAGTGACTCTCACCACCTCTGCCAGTTTTTATTTGTCTTGTCTGTGTCTAGCCAAGGAGACTTCTAAAAGCCAACGAGGGCTTTGCCCAGATCCGCAGCACCTTAAGGGAAGCATCCCACACCAGCTAATCAGCCCCGGCCCGCTTGAAACCTTGCCCTGTTTATTGTTTTATTGGCTCACAAAAGGCCCCTCCGGAGCCACCCCTCACACAAAGCACATACGCTCCTGAGCAAGCCTTTAAACAAACCCACAAGGCAGGAGCACTGCCAGCTTCCTCCTGACACAAACAACGCCACGTGTGACGGCGTTCCCAGGCAGCCCAGACCTGCAGAGGTGGCCAGGTTCTGACCGACCTGACTCGAGCACACCCTTGCTCCTGTACCACGCAGGCCAGGATACTCACGGCTGTATTCCACGAGGGAGCCGACCGCCAGGAGCAGGCTGAGGGCCAGCACCGGCGCTCTCTTCTGCAGGACGTCTGAGATGAAGCCTTGCAATGTCCCACCTTGAACATGGGGGGCACTGTGGGTCAGAACCAGGCCCTCACACCCTGACCCTCCCCTCACACCGCAGCTTCGCCTAGGCCCCACCATCACAGTCAAACAGGATAAAACAACCATCCACTTTCCCTTACTCTTTTCTCTACAAAAAGTAGTTATAGACCCTTCTCCTGACTAATTAAGGACTGTTACTCACAGTCTATTAATAGCAGAAGGTAAAATACTCCCTAAAATTAAATGCAGCCACTATGGTTCAATAATAACTAACAGGTCAATGTGCTTAAGAGGGGATGTTAAACCCTATGGGTGGCACTGTCACGTTCAGAGCGCGCCAGTCTGGGCTCCAGGAGCTGCGGGACATCTGGTATGCACTCGCCAGACCACAGGGGACCCAGAAGTGTGGTTGGGTGCAAAGGCGCCAACCTCACCTCTGGCTCTGGCCCTACAGATAAGGTCAGCCAAGTTCACCTAAGGACAGCCCATCTCACATAATTCTAAAGGAAACATCGAGGGGAGGGAGAGAAGGCTTCACCGCAGCCATGTAGAGACGTCATGGAAAGGCCTCGTGCTCCCCCACTGGATCTGCGGTGCCTTCCTGCTGCGCTCCCATGCCTGGCTCTGGTGCCCAGTCACTGTGAACTGCCGTGGACAATACAGCAAAGCACTCGAGCCAGCCCTGCCCTGCTGCACTCTGCACTACAGTACTGCTCCTGCTTCCTTGGCTGGCAGTGGCGGGGAAGGAGGCGGCAGGGAGAACACGCTCACTCCCTAGCCCAGATCTCTCACACAGGAGCTTCGGAGTCAGGCATCACTGCGCGTCCATGGAAAAGATTCCAGAGCACTTCAGGGCAGAAGAGAAAGCAGAGCCCGGAGCCATGGCGCCACCTGACCACACTCCTCTACGGCCTTTCTCCTGGGAGACCACTAGGAAGACAGCGGCTGCCAGATTCCTAGTGTGCCAAGAGGCTGCTAGTAATGAAGTCCTTTCTTTCTGAGGAAGATGCGCCCCGGCGTACCTATGATTCCGCCAACATCATACCAGATGGACAACTTGTCGGCTTCGGCCTCCTTCCAGCCGAAGTTGTTACTCAGATAGAAGGGCAGCCAGAAGAAGAAGGAGTAATTGACCAGCTTCAGGCAGGCATAGGCCAGGGAGTACTGCAGGAAACATACAAAACTATCAGGAAGGGACAAACAGCATGGCAAGGCCACACTTTCTCATGGTTTCTGTTTGTTTTATTTTGTTTAGACAGGGTCTCAATATGTAACTCAGGCTGGCCTTGAACTCACTATGTAGTCCAGGCTGGCTACAAACTTGTAGTGACCCTCCTGCCTCAGCCTCCTGAGGGCTAGGATTACAGGCATTTGCCCCCACACCTGGCTCACCCAGGTCACAAGTTTTTGTTTATGTTCTTTGGCTTTTTGAGACAGGGTCTCACATGCAGTTCAGGCTAGCCTTGAGCTCATTTTGTAGCCTAGGCTGGTTTCCAACTCACAATAGTCCTCCTGCCTCAGCCTCTCAAGTGCTAGGATTACAGGCATATGCCCCCATACCTGGCTTACCTAGCCTTTTTTTTTTAGGTAAAGTCTCACTAGGCAGTTAAGCCTGGCCTTGAACTTACTACATAGTCAGGGTGGTCTTGAATTCATAACAATCTTCTTGCCTCATCCTCCTGAGTGCTGGGATTACAGGCGTGCACTACCATAACCAGCCTGGGCCATAATTTCTAATGTTACGAAGCAAAGTAAAATAAAATATAAGCATTTGGAGGAGACCAGGGAGATGGTTCAGTAGAATAAGTGCTTGCCTGGCAAGCACAATGGCCTGAGCTCAATCCCCGGTTCCACCAAAATAAATAAGCATTTGGAGTCAACAGTATCTATTTTTGGCTTGGGGAGGGTTTGAGACCAGGTCTCGCTATGTAGTCCTGACCAGCCTCAAATTCACAGGGATCCTTCTGCCTCAGTCTCCAAGTGCTGGCATTGCAAGTATGTGCACCACCACACCCAGTTTTAAAATTAAACAAGTTTATAATTCCTGTTTGCCTGCAATTATCCAGGCTTCCTTCTCTCTTCACTAGCATTAGCATCTAGCAGGGTCAAGCTGCAGACACTCCCTTAGCCACCCCCAGGCTCTTCCTGCCAGGTCTGTGGTAGACAGGAACCTGGGTCTGGAGCAGGAACCCAGGAGGCTGGCAAGCAGAGTTCTTGCCACTGCTCAGCATTAGCCATGGGCAAATCCACCTAACAAGTGGCACAGCTTCTGCTGCTGGCAGCCATTCTATGTCCTGCACGGTGAGCACTGTGAGGCAGTGTCACCACAGCCAGAGGCCAGGACAGCATCCGCCCGGAACTGGCCAAGACAAGGATCCCCGGAAGTCAAAAAGGAAAGCACATGGGCATCCTCCGCCTCCTGGCTCTTTTCTGGGGAACACAGCTGCAGCTGCCTTAAGATGGCACTGGGCTGAGGCTCAAATATTGAACATACTATTACCAGGAAATCCTGGCATTTAGCATCCAAGGAGAAGGGGCGGAGCTGGTGGCTTCAAAGGGCATCTGGCGCACACACACCAGGCCCTGGAGCCGCTCGGTCCCCAGATATCACCTGCTAAGAGTGCTTTCCTGGCCAGGCAGGAGCCACCCCCAGAGAGCCACTTCCTGGTCACCAGAGCACCCCGTCTGGACAGCCTGCTGCAGGGACAAAGGCTGAGTTCCTTCCTTCCTCACCAGCCTGCCCAGGAGAACAATGGCTGTGAGGACAAAGGAGCGGCAAGAGTTCCAGCTCACTCACCGCAAATTTCAATTCCGTCTCAACAATTAATTCTGCTTATGGGATATATTAATAACTAGCTGAAAGATTAGCCTTCACATAGGAATACGCCTAAAGGAGCAAGCATCCCCCGAATCTTTGAAATTAAGAATTAGGGACAATGACCTGTTTTAACTCACACAGTTATTAGAAGTTTTTTTGTTTTGTTTTGTTTTCCCCCTAGCTTGGAGGCACAGGCAAAAAGAGTTGGTACAGTAAGTGTGAAAATACCTGGACATCAAGACCAGCCTGGGTTACAGGGTGAGCTCAAGGCCAGCCTGAATGCAGAGCAAGACCCTGTCTCAAAAAGACAAAAAAAGGGTGAGAGAAAGAATGAGAATGAGAATGAGAATGAGGAAAAGGAAAAAGAACGACCTAGATATTTGGAAAGACTTGGACATTCTGAATTTAACTGGGGGGTAACAGTCATAAAACACCATTAAAAAAATGAAATAAAATGCCAGGTGTGGAGGCACCGTCCCTTAATCCTAGAATTCTGGGAGGTAGAGGCAGCAGGATCATAAGTTTAAGCCCTGCCTGGGGAACTTAGTGACACACTGTCTGAAAAATAAAACAAGGATACAGCTCAGTGAGAAGGCTCTGGGTTCAATCCCCAGTACTAAAAAAAAATCCAGTTATTACTCATCACATGTGAACCCACTGTCTGAGACCTCAGGAAACCCAAAGGGCACTGAGACACAGGATGGTTGAGTGACTTACCCCAGCCTCCCAGAAAACCAGCTGAGAAGCTGGAGACTTGACCCAGTCCCCTCACGTGCATGCCAGGGCCAGAGCACCCAAATCACGAAGAGAGTCTGTGCAGGTACAGCAAGGCTTCCCGAATGCAGAGGCTGCTTGGACCGGGACAAGGTGCAAGAAACTACAGGCCAAAGGCAGTCAGACCCCTCTGTGGCCTGGGCTCCAGACCCCCACGGAGGTCAGCGAAACAGGGTTCATGGGTCCAGCCTGTCACAAGCATCAGCAGACACTGTCTATGCCTTCATTTTCGAGTACCTCAAAGCTGGAAATAGGTACTCTCTGGCTCTTTCTGGGGAGGGCCCACCTCAGCAGAGCCTCAGACACTGCACAACAATCCTCAGTCCAAATTCCTCAAATCAATGCATGCCCGGGAAGTATGAGGTCCTGAGTTCAATGGCCAATACCAAATTCCTGAAGTCAGGCATGAGAGACACCGTCCACCCTAGTAGCCTGATCCTGGCAGAGCAAGCACCCAGCGCAGTCCCCAGGGCAGGCTGGAGGGGTCCTTACCGGGATAACTCCGGGCAGGCAGCAGGCCTGGCCGAAGCCGATTGCCTTCACTTCGGGGACAGCACTGGCCTCCTGGGTGGAATAACTGGGCTCATATTCATCTTCATTTTCAGCATTAATTAATGGTCTATGTGAGTCTTCTTCAAGGTTTTCACTTTCAATACCTGGGAGGCCTAAAACAAAAACTATAGCTACCATTTACTGAGCACCTACTGTGTGCCTGCCATGGTGCGGAGGGCTATAGATGTCCCTTCTAGAGTTCTTGCCATTTTTAATTCCATCTTGTACAAGTAACCACCAAGGTCAAGGCCAATTAGGGCAAATGAAGGTCGCACAGCATATATACGGATGAACAAACTGCATACCTTTCTGCTTCTACATTTTCAATGGTACACGTTCTATTTAACCATAAGTAATTGCCAAACTGAATCTTCATGCATATGCGTGTGATGCTGGCGACTGAAGTGAGGGCCTCAGGTGGCCACCACTGATCTATGTCCCCAGCCCCAGATGGAATCATTCTTATGAAGGAAAAAAAAAAAAAAATTTAGCCTAAAGAAGTGAATTTGGAGTGAGCCTAGTGGTGCACGCCTGTCATCCCAGCACTCAGGAGGCTGAGACAGGAGGATTACCACAAATTCAAGCCAAACCAGGGCTATACAGTGAGTCTGAGGCCAGACTGAACTACAAGTGAGACCATATCTCAACAAACAAAACAGTGCAATTGGAAACAAATTCATGCTAATTCCTAGCCAGTGTCCCATTGTTAAAAGTCATCTGCAGGCTAGGAACGTAGCTCAATGATGGAGCATTTGCCTGGCATGAGTGAGGCTCTAGGTTTAATCCCCAGGATGGCAAAACAAAGGCACTGGGACCAGGGAGACAGCTCAGTAGAATAAGTGCTTGCCTGGCAAGCACAGGGTCCTGAGTTCAATCCCTGATACTGCAAAAAAAATAAAATAAAATAAAAATAAAACAAAAGCACTTGCAAACACTACAGTTTTCCTGTATGTGTAAAAGGTGTGCATCACTCTCAAACACCAGCCTGCCCAGGCTTAGCCAGCACATTCCCCAGCATACAAAACACAAAATTGCTCCTGTAATTCACTGCAAGGAGCTCAGCAGTCCTAGGAAAAATCTATTTCAATCTCAGACCTCCAAACCATGCGGCACTTCGAAAAGAAGAGACAGCTTCTCCTCACCGATTTCCTCTGGTGACACCAGGAGTCCAAAGAAGATGACGATCCCACCAGCAAACTGCACAGACGCTGTCACCAGAAAGGCGTACTGGAGGAGAGGGGAGAGGCGGGTCTTACACAGGTAGCTGGCACAAGTACGGTCACAAGAAGCACACGTGGGATGGACAGGGAGGAGGAGGACAGTGGGACCACATGCTGGTGTTCTCCTGCTTCAAGTTCTTGGTTTTGTGGCTGAGCCAGGGATCAGAGCCAGGGCTGGGCTGCGAAGCAGGAACTGCACTGGGCCACACCCAGCCAAGGGCTCTACCTAGGACTCTTGCATTTGCCCCAGAGCTCTCAACAAACAAAACAGTGCAATTGGAAACAAATTCATGCTAATTCCTAGCCAGTGTCCCATTGTTAAAAGTCACAGAGGATCCAGGGAAGCCCTGGAAACTACAGTGATAGGTCGATTATAAAATCCAGACTGGGGCTGGTGAGATGGCTCAGTGGTCTAAAGCACCTCCTTAGAACAAGCTTGGCAAACCACAGGGACTGCGGTTCAATCCCCCAGCACCACATGCCAGCCAGCCCTGCCCCCAGGTGGGCTGAGCTGGCTGGCCACACACACACACACACACACACACACACACAAATAAATAAAATTAAAAAAAAAAATTCAGACTGTACCCCCAAATCTCATTCTTTACTTCATACATAAGACAGGAGATATAAGGTCCAGTTGAGATTAAACGGCACCCCAAACAGCACTATAAGGTAGCACACAGCCCAAGAAATAAGAAGACTCTGCCCCCATGAGGAACAAAGGAATGTAGGAAGAGGAAAGAGCTAAAAGGAGGCGGAGGCAGCTAGGGAAGCTGCTTCAAGGAAGAGGCAAAGATCAAAGCAACAGCCTTCCTTCTGGGAACAACTCGAGCCCCAGTTCGACCTGGACGAGATGGCAGCTTCCTGCAGCAGCACAGGGGCAAGCAGGCCGGGCAGGGCCCGACAGGGACACCAAGACTGGCAGTCAGGCACCAGGCTGCGCAGTAGGCACACTCGACAAGCAATCTCAATTTTTAAACAAGCAAGTGACAGAATGAAAGCAAGGTCCCCAGGACCAAATCTGGGAGCAGCATAGAGGGTGCAGTGAAATTCTCCCCTGAGCCGAACAGGACAACCCAAACATCAAGCCAGGAAGCCCAGAAGACTGGTGACTGCCTAGAGGTCAGGCCTGTACCTAGCCCCAAACCCTCCTGAGCCCTGCAGCAATGTGTCTAGCTTTAAAAGCACAACTTCCTCCATTTTAACCATTGAGGTTCCTGAGTGACACAGTCACAGAAGTCAAGTAACAAAAAAATACAAAGTAAAAACGCCCCTCACACCCCTTCCAGACCCATTACCTCTTTCAAGTTTCCCACTGTTGTCATTTTTTACCTTCTAGACATTGTTTTGTCTGGTATTAGTATCAAATCCAGGTCCTCTGTATTGAGCTGCACCCCCACCCCCAACTCCTTTTAAAATTTTTATTTGGAGACAGGATCTTGCTAAGTCACCCAGGCTGGGCTCAAACTTGCAATCCTCCCGCCTCAGCCTCAGAGTGCTGGACGACAGGTGTGCATCAATACCTGTCCGGGCAGAGACTGTTCTAGAAATACACAGATAATATATAGGAATACTCCTTCATTTGCCTTCAGCGCACACTGCTTTGCAGCCTGGCTGCCTGGAATCTTTCTGGTGTATTGATCTTGCTTAGCTGAGCTTCCACATTTTACTTCTGAGGTACAGCACTCTTCAAATGTGTGACTGCACCTTCAGCTTGAAGCTTGCTGGTTAACACGTATTCAGTCCTAGGCTTTCACTAGCAATGTTCAAACAACCCTGCAGATACACCTCTTTGCACCTGTGAAGGTACACTCACCGGGGCAATTCCTGGCAAACTGCTCTGCATGGTCAGAGCAGGTGGAGCTTGGACAGACACTGATTAACCCCTGCAGGAGCAGCATGTATTCCAACAGCAGTGGCTGGTTCTGCAACCACAACCACTACAGGTGGTTGGCAACCTGTTGTAGTTTCATCAAGCTGATACACGTATTTTTCTTTTGTTAAAAAAATGTATTTAGTACATGGTCTACAGGGTCTCACTACACAGATCAGAATCATAGTGACCCTCCTGTTTTCAGCCTCCCAAGTGCTGGGATTACAGGCATGCACCACCATACTCAGTCTCAATCGCTGTCTCAGTACACCCCAGGGGCGGGACTGGCACAGCAAGACTGAGATCGAACCCCTGCCACTGAGTTCTAAGCAGGCACTTTAGTCTGCTAAGCTATCTGGCTGGCCCTTAATGTATTTCTTTATTGTGTTTTCTTATAGAGTAGCTGTAACTCATCCTCTCCACCCACTAACCCCAACCTCCTAGGGACTGATGTTTGTCTAAGCCATTTCTATTTTCTTTCCATGAGCTATGCATTCCAAAGCTCTGTCTTCCTAAGTTGTCTTTTCCTTACAAATCTGTGGGAATTATTTACATCAGGGAGACTGCCGTCTGTGGGTGGCAAACACAGCAGTACCTTGGTTCACAAAAGCATTTGGAAAAAAAATTGTTTTTGTTTTCAAACTTTGCATCAGGTGATGAACACGGCTGTGGCTCTTTCCTGCACAAACATGGCCATTTTATCCAAAATCATGCAATAAATTAAGTTCCTGAACTGAGGGGTCACTGTAGTTTTTCTCAATTAGTTCTACGTATTTCAACTCTTGTTAGTATTTTTGTCATGAGTAGTTTTGTTATGTGTTTGAATTTATCAGAAGTTCTTTCATTTTTAATACAGCCTTGCCTTACTCAAACACATCTATAGTTTCAAAAGGGCACAGTACTACTTCAGAAAAAACTATATATAGTACATAAACACACACAGAAGCTGAGAAAATGTACCCACCTCATAGCCATACGGCAGGACAGACGAAGCAAGGCAGGCGCCCAAGATGTTACCCACCGAGGCACAGGCACTCCAGAGACCGAAGACCACGCCCCGGCTGCAGAAGGAGACAGAGAGCAATGACACCGGCAAGGATTCTGTGCGCAGCGCCAACTTTAAAGAACGCTGGAACAGTGAACATTCCCATTACAGAGCATGAACAGACTTTTTTTTTTCATCTTTTGAGAAAGGGTCTCGCTATGCAGTTCAGGCTGGCCTTGAGCTCACTTTGTAGTCCAGGCTGGTTTTGAACTTGCAAAAATCCTCCTGCCTCAGCCTTCCAAATGTTGGGATTACAGGAGTGCACTACCACACCCTGCTTCAATAGTCTATTTTGTTAAATTTCAAATACATGGGGCCGGGGAGATGGCTCAATGGAATAAGCGCTTCCCTGGCAAGCGCAAGGGCCTGAGTTCAATCCCCGGTTCCGCCAAAAGAAAAAAGGATACATCAAATACACTAAAAATGATAAAAGAAAAATCAGCTCCTTTGTAAGTAAGAACTAATGATGTTAAAATTCAAGTTGGGAACCAGGCACAGTGGCACAGGGCTATAATCCTAGCACTGGGGAGGCTGAGGCAAGATTACCAAAACTTCAAGGCCAGCCTGGACTTTGTAATGAGACCCTGTCTCAAAAAAACCAAAAAAAGTTCAATTTAAGGGCTCTCCAAAAGACACTTAAGAAAAATTTATTTATTTATTTGGGGGGGGGGGGCTGGGGATTGAACTCAGGCCCTTGTGCTTGCCAGGGAAGTGCTTATTCCACTGAGCCACCTCCCCAGCCCCTTAAGAAAAATTTAAAAGATGCCACAAACTGGAAAAATATCTGATAAAAAGACTTGTATATGTAAAAAACCCTCAAAACTCAAGAGAATAGACAATGTAACAGATTTTTTTGTTTCTGTCCTTTTGAGACAGTCTCACTGTGTAGTTCACACTGGCCTTGAACTCACTATGTAGTGCAGGTTGGCCTCAAACTCAAGGAGATCCTCCTGCGCAAGGCCGCCCCAGCGCTGGAATTACAAGTGTATGTCACCACGCCCAGCTGAACAGATTATTAAAGGCCAGAAATCTATAATCATCTGCCAATAAAAAAAAATGGGCCAAAAGACTTTAACAGGTACTTTACAGGTATGATAAAAACAATCACGTGATGCAAATAAGCACACAAAAACATGTTCAATACCATTGGAAGCCAGGGAAATAAATGCTAAATAAATCAAAACGAGATAGTGCTGCTTGCCAACCTGACTGGCTAAAACCAAAGGAGACTGACCAGAGCAGGAGCGGGCAGGCACGAGGTGTGACTGCGGCCGCTCTGCACTGGGACACAGCAGACTGCATGCCTTTCTGGAAGATGCCCCCATGACCCGGCCACGCCAACCACAGACGCAGTATCTGCCCCGGTGTGTGTCCACATGGACTTAAACAGAGGCCTCACTGGAGCTCTGCTTCTGAAAGTCCTAAACTGAAAACTCTGGCGTTCACCCACAGGATACCAGGGTGCGCACTGCAGAAGGACTTCTGCCCAGCTACCAAAAATGCTGAGCATCTGGACCCCTGGGAGTGAAGCTCCACACAGGGAAGTAAGGCAGGTCACCAGAGGGACAGACCAAAGGACTCCACTTCTGTCAGCTCTTGGAAATTCAAATTACAGTGACAGATGGCAGGCCAGTGTGAGCGCAGGAAGAAGGGATTACCAGGGGTTGTTTCTCAGCTGTGACGATGGCTCCGCAGGTGCATAGAGGCCAAAGCCACCACACTGTGCACTGCACACATGTGTGGATTCCTGCAAGTCCACCAGGAAGCCAGAAGGGACAGGCAGAGGAAGAGCCCGGTGGAAGTGACGTTAGCTGTCACCATAGTAAAAGAGAGAAACGACTGTCCTGAATACAGGAAATGGCAGTGCAGCTGGTGTGAAAAAGAGGATTTAGGAACACTTCCTTGGTTTTGATTTTGTTTTTTAGAGACTTGTCTCACAATGTGGCCCAGGCTGGCCTTGAACTCATGGTGATCCTCCTGCCTCTGCCTCCCAAGGGCTGGGACTACAGGTGTGTGTTTTAAGTTAAAATCTGTGTTTCATTCCAATTGATACATACATTAACACACTGTGCTGGTCAGCATGTTTAGCATTTTTCTAACCTCATTAAAGCAGAAAGAGCATTAGAAATGAACACGTAGATGACACCACACAGTAAGAAATGACATCTATAAAGCGTGACCTCAGCCACTCTGCCGACTTTTGGGTCTCTCCCATGCACTCCTGAAAGGCCTGGTGCAGGTGCATGCAACCTGGGTGCAGGGCCTGGTGCCCCAGAGAGGCAGGTATTAGGCCTGCACCTCCCTGGCGACCGAGAGCAACAGCACGACTCTGCCTAAGCAGCAGCTATGTAGGCCCAGGACTCCCGCAGCTGGACCCTTCACTTCCACTTCTTCCTTTGCTACCGGTCACACTGACCCTGTGGGCTGCTGCTCCATGACTGACCACACTTGCTTGTTACCAGCAAGCTGGCTTCCTTTCCCAGGGAGCCTGCAATGGCTTTCGTGGCTTCCTTTTGTTTTGTGACTGAGCCACAAAAATAACAAAGTGGTCAAACCATTCAGCTACTGAACTGGAAACTTGGTGTCGACTGATTTGGATCAGTCTCTAATTCCCTCAAAATGACCCTTGTTGGAACTAGTAAGTATCTATAAGTGACAATGTCAGTGGACTCAACCAAAGCTCTCTTTGTTCATTTGTATTTTGTGATTTACAATAAATTCTACCCTTCATATAATTTTAGTTTGTGACAGGATCTCTCTATGTAGTCTAGGCTGGCCTTGAACCTGCAGCAGTCTTTCTGCCTCAGCCTCCTGAGTACTGGGATTATAGGTGTGCACCACCATATCTGGCCCCTTCCTATAATTTATAAAAGTCTCAAATGAAAAACAATTTTCTTTTAAAAAAATCTTAATTAAACAAAATCAGGGCCAGCAAGATAGCTCAGTGGAATAAACACCTGCTTTGGCAAGTGCAGGGACCAGGGTTCAATCCCCGTTCCCGCATGCTGCACCAGCCTCACTCCTGGGGCACACGCCTATAATCTCAGCACTGGGGAGGCTGAAAGCAGGAGATCACTATGAGTCAGAGCTGCGTAGTGAGACCCTGCAACAACCAAGTACATTTTAAAAAAAGACCATGTGCAGGCTGTCTCATCCATTCCAGTCACAGAACAGCGCCTTTTCATGGACAGGGTGACCACCTGCACACTGAGTCCTGACCAGACTATTAGCATTCTCAGGCAGTGCTTATTTCAGCCCAAGATGGGCCATGCTGGCCACCACATCGACTAGAAGTTGAGGGGCAGCAGGCACACACTGGGTACCAGACGGGGAACAGCAACACATAAACATTCATCTAGGAAAAATGGTATAAAGCTTTTTTTTTTTTCTTTTTTTGAGACAGGATC